ATGCGACCGCCATGCCTGGTCCCACCATGAGGCCTGGCCCCATCGGTTAGCCCTGTTAAAACAGGGTAAGATTGTAAGATTTTTTAATGTTTTTGAAATAAGTCTTTTTATACTTAGTTCTACTCCCCAAAGCTGCATTTATTTGATAAAAAAATACAGTAAAAAGGAACAATATTGTGAAATATCATTACAATTTAAAATAACTCTTTTTATGTTTTAATATATTATAAAATGTCATTTATTCCTGTGATCAAAGCTGAATGTTCAGCATCATTACTCCAGTCGTCAGTATGATCCTCCACAAATCATATTAATATGCTGCTTTGCTGCTCAAGAAACATTATCAATGTTGGAAACAGTTGTGGTGCCTAATATTTTTGTGGAAACAAAATGATAAAAGTGTTTTTTTAGGATTCTATTATGAATTTTAATATGTCTTTACTGTCACCTTTGCTCAATTTGTTCATCCCGAAAGCATTAAAACAATCTTATTATTGACCCCAAACGTTTGAACAGCATAGCAAGTGATATATTGTGTGGCAAATGCATATTAGTCACAATTTTCTCAAAATAAGAAATGATCATATTGTTTTAGTAGGTCTTTATGCGCTTTATGCTGTTTGTGTTGTTGTTGTTTTTTTTTTTTTATGTCGGAACAGGGTTGGAAAGTAAATAACCCCGCAGACCTTCCATTACTGGACTAAGACGTTCATTTTGCTGCTATGGAGAAACAATGCTCAGCCAAATATCATGGTGTGAAGATTATTCTGATATAACAAATACATATCCAACAGATCTTTTTCTTTATTTGATCTTTTTCTTCCCAGGTGAACTAGCCTGACTTCATCATACTCATATTCAAGAGAGAATATGAGTCTGAAACTCCTCCGTTGGGCTTTGATTATGAGGCGTGTCGTAACCGAACCAGAAAAAAAAACCCTCTGCACTCAATTGTATAGTCGGTAGACCTACAACCAATCAGAGCAACGCAGTAAGTCAACTCCTTTGCATAGCGCAGTTTTCAAATACAGAACGTAGCTTAACTTTATTTATTTTAGAAGTTAAATAACGAGTGTTGCTTCTTTTACTTACTTCTCCATGAGTGCGACCAAAGGAGAAACCACAACGACCACAGGCTTTTCATTACGTCCCATCTTCTTAACGACCGTCAGAGCCAGCTGATAAGTTACACTTTTCCCGAATCATGTAGGAAGGACGCCAAAAATATCTTTCTGATCGACAAATGCCTTGATTGCAGTTCTCTGTTTGTCTATTAAAATGAATGCGCTGTCGGTTTATTTTACAAAAGACTCAACAGCGGAATCTATACATCTCAATTCTCCAGCTGCAGTCATCTTTGACAAGCGCTCTTTGATAACGTGATGATTACGTCCCTGTAGATCATCTGTCCATAATCATATAACGCCCGCCCTGGCAATATGATTGGCCCGATCATTTTTTGACTGATCATAATTACTCCTCAATGGATCGAGTCCAGACCGAACTTCCCGACCAAAAAATGTTGTGGGCGGAGTTCGGGCTGGCATCCAGGCTACAGGTGAACAAGATGTAGTATTATATGTATTCAAAATATATATTTGAAATTCAAGTATTATGTTTAAGGTGCAGTCTAAGTTGATGCGAAGAAATGAAGTTACTGCCCTCAGAAGTTCAGGTAAGCTTTACTTGTGTTTGGATAAATAAATAGCTCACTGTTTATTTTTTTCCAAGGTGGATAGGGCTGCTATGCATTAGCTAATATGCAGGCTAACATGTGGATTACTTATGATGTCAATGATCTTTGGGAAAAAAAATGTTATGAACACAAAATTACTATTCATTTATTTAATTTACTATTCTATTCATCATTTGTGAAATATATTTAAAAAAAAAATCAGCTGCAATAGAAGAAAATCTGAAATATGAGTAGTAAGTATGGTTTAATCTCATATCACCTCTGTTATAGAGATTTTTGAATCAGGCCGTCCTTAGGAAAATTTTAGCAACGTGTCTAATTATTTGTGCTTCCTTTGAGTCATTCATGTAAAAATCTGTTTGTCATTTAAAGATAGTGTAGGTCAGAATTTAAAAAAAAACTTTTTGAATATATCAATGCATAATTAAAATCTAAGTACTCTGAAAAAGAAAGTATAAAAATCGAGTGTCTGTAGACCTCTCACGACTGTTTTAAAGACAGTTCATTATTTCCATTCACTTCACCCCCTCCCTTCTGGGCTCCTTCCAAAGCCACGCCCCCAAAACACATGAACGCGCGACTCCGACAGCTGAGCTGAAGACGCATTATTTACCTGAGACGAGCGGAGAGGAGAGTGCATAGTGACATCATGTCAGAAACACATGTAAATAAAAAAATCTAACTATCATTATGAAGATAAACAAATAAGTTGTATTTTATTACTCACAATAAAGCTAGAATATTGAAATTGGTAAAGTTAACAATATATATTTATTGATTCGCTAATGAGCTAGTTATCTATACGGCAAAGCTAAAAACAGGTTGCATGATACACGTTTTGCCATCATTTACACTGTGATGAAGATGAATTTCGTGTAAGATTCCTAACATATATATGGTGTTCTGACTGCATGTAAGAGTTTCCATTATGAAGGCATTGTTGATTCTGATGAGGACTACACTCACGAGACAAGTAAGTTACCCATAGACAGTATAAGAAAGCAAGTACCGCATTATCCGCTCTGTGGTATTTTGGAATAATAGTGTAAAAGAATGCTTGTATTTTGAAAATAAAAGGGCTGTTCCGGGGCTCGCCGGATGTTATGTGCTGATGGCTAAATAAAGACCAGCTCCAAGTACGTCGTTGTACGAACCTCATTTGTTTCTTTACAAAGAACGTGACATGGTGTCAGAAGTGGGCGACTTGTGAGCAGAGAAGGGAAAAGTAACTAAGCGATCGTTTTGGCAAGAAATAGGAGACGAGCCGGCAGAGATGGCGAGATCTACACCAACTGCTACGTTCACGATACAACCTCCAGAGCCATTCGATTTTACCAAGCCTCAAGAATGGGAGCGCTGGATTAGGAGATTTGACCGTTTTCAGCTCGCAAGCAATCTAAACGCAACGTCGGAAGAAAACCAGGTAAACACGTTAGTGTATTGTATGGGTGATGAAGCCGAAGATGTGCTAAAGGGGCTAACGCTAACAGCAGAAGAGAGGAAGAAGTACACGGATGTTAAGGCGGGCTTTGATACATTTTTTGTGCCTAAAAAGAATGTGATATATGAAAGAGCCAAGTTCAATCAGCGTGTGCAGTTGCCGGGAGAAACGGTGATTCCTTTATAACTGCTCTGTATGGACTAGCGGAACATTGCAAGTATGGACAGCTACAGAATGAGCTGATACGTGACAGGCTGGTGGTCGGGCTGAGAAACGTCTCATTGTCAGAAAGGTTACAGCTAGACAGAGATCCAACCCTTGAAACTGCTATAGCTAAGACAAGGCAGTCTGAAGAAGTTAGACGACAGCAGTGTGATTTGAGGGGAGAAAATGACGGCGCTAGCAAGTGCTCTAATGTTGATGCTGTGCATGCAAAAAGTTACAAAAAATATACATTTCCCTCAAAGCTTCAGCCACCTGCAAAAAATTTTCAGCCACAAGCACAAACATCAGGCAAATATAAATCTAATGTATGGCCACAGCAAGGTTCAAAGGCCTGTTATAGATGTGGGAAAATGCCCTCACATGGAAGATTAGAATGCCCTGCTACAGATGCTGTGTGTTACAACTGTGGAAAATGGGCCATTATGGGAAAGTGTGCAGAACCAGTGTGAAATCTTTGAATGCTGTTACAACAGAAGAAGAGGAGAGTTTATTCCTGGGCGCCGTGGATGCGGGAAGAGACCCTTGGACCGTGCAGCTACAAGTGAGAGACAAAAAAGTGTGCTTTAAAATCGACACTGGTGCTGATGTGACCGCCCTGCCAGCCGAGTTGTATTGTAACGTTACAGGGGGATCTGAGATGAAGCGTCTGGCAGTGTCGAGCCGCCCATTGTTTGGGCCAGGTGGCAATTTATTGTCTGTCCTAGGTGTAGCTAGAGAAACACTGCATAGAGGCGCACAGACAGACTATTTTAACCGGCTACCCTTTGGCATAGCTTCAGCCCCCGAGCACTTTCAAAGGATAATGATGACAGAAGTGACCTGTGGTCTAGAGGGGGTACTGTGTCACATGGATGACATCCTGGTCTGGGGACAGACGCAGGTCGAGCATGATACGGCTACAGGCGGTGCTTGAGAAGGCACAAAAGGCAGGTATTACGCTCAACATGGACAAATGTGAGCTTGCACGCCATACAGTCAGATTTATGGGTCATGTGATTTCAGTAGATGGAGTGAAGCCAGATCCAGAGAAGACAAGAGCTGTGCAAGAGATGGACGCACCCAAAAATGTCAGCGAGTTAAGGAGTTTTCTGGGCATGGTCAATCAGTTGGGCGGTATACCAGTCAAGAAGCGGTTCTTGCCTAACCTGGCTGAAAAAGACAAAGTGCTAAGAGACCTGCTGTCTAAGAAGAACCACTGGTACTGGGGGACGGAGCAGCAGGCGGCCTTTGATCAGTTAAAAACAGAGTTGTCATCTACACCAGAGCTCGCACTATACAACCCGAATAGTGCATTAAAGATCTATGCCTCTTCCTTTGTCCTGGGGGCAGTCCTGCTGCAGAAGAATGATGCCAGGTGGTCACCGGTGGCATATGCGTCCAGGTCAATGACACCGACAGAGCAGTGCTATGCTCAAGTAGAGAAGGAGGCATTAGCTGCAACATGGGCTTGTGAAAGATTAAGCTGTTTTATCTTGGGAAGACCATTCGAGCTGGAAACTGACCATAAGCCGTTGGTGAGCCTGCTGGGCGGGAAGGCTCTGGATGACCTCCCACCAAGAATCCAAAGATTTAGGATGCGACTCATGAGGTATGATTATACAGTTAATCATGTCCCTGGGAAAAGCTTGTGGACAGCCGACACCTTATCTCATGCTCCTATAAGAACTGCAGAGGCATACACCGATATAAG